TGAGCTGGGGGGGGGCGGGGGGAGGGGTTCGAACCGGTAGTGACCCCCCCCGGTTTTCCGGAGGGGGGGGGGGGGGAGGGGTTCGAACCGGTAGTGACCCCCCCCGGTTTTCCGCCAGCAGCGGTAGAACACGCTCTTTCACATATGGGCGTCCTGGGGTCTCAGGGTTGGGTTTCTTTTGGAAGGTTTCTTGTGCACTGGCCTCCACTGTAGCACATCATGGGGGCCTGGTATACCCTCTTAGTTTCCATTGTCCATCTTTAACGTCAATCCGCGTCAGGGAATCGAGGAGAGATCGCCGATTTAGCGTCGGGTGGCGTTGGCGTAGATTTAGCGTCGGTTAGCGTCGATGCAGCGTCGATTAGCATCGATTCGCAAGAGCCGCCAAGATGGTATGGAAGGCTCCCGACAGGGTCGCGCTGACCTGGAGTTGCCCGCGCTGCTGTTGCTGCGGGGCGCGGCAGGGAGGCATGCCTCAGAACGCGAAAAAAGGTATTGGTACCGCTACCCTTCCCTCGTCTCCTCGCCTTTTGTGGGCTTTCGGGAAGGCCCTCGCCGCCACGGCTGGATTCGCCTCGAACTCTTGCTCGGAACGCCAGCAGGCACTGGCCCGTGGAGTAGCGGTATCGGTACCGTTTCCTGTTCGCCAGCACCGTGCAGACATGGTTTGCCGACCCCCATCGGACGGAGCAGGCTCACCTCGACGAGGCACCTTCCTGGCTGGGGACGCACGCCCGCAGGGCGCCCGGATGGCCTCTGCAACGTGCCACTGGGTGGCGACGCGTGGCCAGAGAGCGAGGAGAGCACGAGCGACGAGCAACACCCCTGGGGACGGCGCATGTACCCAGAAGGCAGGAGGCGGGCGGGCGGCGAGGCTGAAGTCGGGCAGGTCCCTCTGCAGGAGGAATTTTCAAAAGCGGTTCCAAGACAGTCTGGGGACGAGGTCTGCGGTATTTTGCTTGTTGCCAGCGTTCCAAATCTTTTGTTGACGATGTTCTATGTCTCCAAAGCTCGCCTGTGGGAGGACGCGCCCAGCCCAAGGCGAAGCGCGAGGCGCACGGTCTGCGAGGCTCCCGGTGGAGCGACCGGGGAGCGTGCAGTGTCGCGGCCCTGCGGAGGGGCCGCCTGCTGGGGCGGCAAGCGGCGGCCCGGGCGCCCGCGGCGGAGACTGTGCCACGTGGGGCCCGACGGGCCGCCCCCTGGGGGCGGGCGGCGCCGTGGACGGCGGACGGCCGGCCAGGCAGGAGGCGGGCGGCATCATCATCATCATCATCATCATCATCATCATCATCATCATCATCATCATCATCATCATCATCATCAGCATCAGCATCAGCATCAGCATCAGCATCATCATCATCATCATCATAATCATCATCATCATCATCATCATCATCATCATCATCATCATCATCATCATCATCATCATCATCATCATCATCATCATCATCCCCCGCTGCGCGTGGCATGGCGCGATGCGGTTGCCGCGGCGCCTTCATCAGGAGAGGTCTTGATCTTTTTCGTCCTTGCTCTCTGCTTTCTACTGTTTTTGTTTTCTCTCTCTCTATCTCTCTTATTATATTTCTTGATGTTCTCTCTCTCTCTCTCTCTGTTTTTGTTTCATCTCTCGCTCTCTCTCTCTCTCTCTATTCCTGTCTCTCCCTCTCCCTCTCTCTCCCTCTTTCTCTCTTTCTCTTTCTCTCTTTCCCTTTATCTCTCTATTTCTCGTTTCTTGTGCTGTCTTTCTCTCTGTCTCTGTCTCTCTCTCTCTCTGTCTCTCTCTCTCTCTCTCTCTCTTTCTCTCGCGAAACACGCCACGCAGTCGGTCGTCCCCCCTCCAGCCCTGATCTCCGCCCCACGGCTGCACGGCCCCCGCCGGCGGAGCGGCGCCGAGGACTCCAAGAAGCTGATCCGCATGTACAACAAGATGGCCAAGACGCTGGTCGAGTTCGAGACGCTGTGGCGAGCCCCCTCCCGCGCCGAGGGGGAGGGGGTGGGGGAGGGGGGAGGGGGGAGGAGGGGGAGAGGAGAGGGAGAGGAGGTGGGGGGTGGGGGAGGGGGTGGCGAGAATGAGGAGGAGGAGCCGGAGCCGGAGCCGGAGCCGGAGCCGGAGCCGGAGCCGGAGCCGGAGCCAGAGGAGGAGGGGTTGGAGGAGGAGGAGGAGGAGGAGGAGGAGGAGGAGGAGGAGGAGGAGGCGGATGATGATGATGAGGAGGAGGAGGCGGAGGAGGAGGAGGAGGAGGAGGAGGAGGAGGAGAGAGGGGGAGAAGGGGGAGGAGGAGGGCGAGGGAGGCAGGGAGGAGAGGAGAGGAGAGGTGACATGAAGGCGGAAGATGTTCGAGGATGTAGGGGGGAGGAGGAGGAGGGCAGGAAGCAGACGAGGGGCAGGAGCAGCGACACTGGCAGGCAGAGGGGCCCCCCACACCTCCCTGGTTCGATACCGGCGCTTCGCTTCCCAGCGAGGGGGGGGTCTGGGCCACCGGCACGGGCAGCCAGAGGG